TGTAAAATGTTAATATTTATTTTGTTAGCTAAGTTATATATGGAATATTAATTTCGTTTTTAATATAATTTGGAAACAATGACATTTTATAAAAATAATAAACTAATATAATGATGTGTCATTATACGATTGGAGGACTTAAATCCTACGTGGACGTCCTCAATGGCTTATAGCCTCAACTTTTATATAGTATAGATTACAATACGCCGTGCGGGACGTTGAAGTTAGCAACATTACTTGGATTCCATCGCGAGAACATCTAACAATAAACAAAAAAAATTAATTTTGTCAAATCTCCAAAGATTAGGGTTTGGGCTAGCGACACTCCTCTCTCTGTTTTCGAGCTTCAGGGGACCAAAATAAAATCTCTGCAACCTCTCTTGTCCTCTTGAGAGATTGTTCATGTTCAAGTGGGCTTAAGCTTTACGGTCTTCTGATTCGGATTACGATTGAAAGGAAGAACCTTTTTTTTAAGTTTAAGATGGATGAGGGAGATGGGAGAGATCATTTCCACCGCAACGAGGCGATCTCCGCCGTCGCCGACGAGGGTTTTATGGCCGAGGAAGAAGACGAAGACTTTGACGATCTTTATAACGACGTTAATGTCGGAGAAGGGTTTCTTCAGTCCGTGAGAAAGAAGGAGGAAGCTGAGAGATCCAGAAACGAAGAGAAGAAGGTGAAAATAGAGGAAGAAGCTGAGGTCTCTATACCTGGTTTGGTTGCTGAGAGTGTTGCTATCAAAGCAGAGGCGGAATCAGAAACAGGAGGAGGGGAAAGTGGTAGTGGTGTGGTAGTTGCTTCTAGTGGTGGATATGGAGGTGAAGAGGTTAAGGTTAATGAGGTTAGGGTTGAGCTAGGGCAAGCTCCTAATAGGGTAAATGAAGTTGAGGCTTCTAGAGGAAGTAATTTTTCTCAGGGTCTTTTGCCACCACCACCAGGTCCACCACCTCCTAGCTTGGGAAATAACGAGAATTTTGTTAGACCTGTTAATGGTTTGACTCATCCTGGTCCTGGTAGTGGCATGGTTGGGAACGGAGCTGTTATCCATATGCCTGGTGTTCTTCCTAGTGGTGGTGGAGGAGGAGGAGGGGGTGGGACTTTTCTTTTTGTTGGGGATTTGCATTGGTGGACAACTGATGCTGAGATAGAGGCAGAGCTGTGTAAGTATGGTGCAGTGAAGGAGGTTAGGTTCTTTGATGAGAAAGCTAGTGGTAAGTCGAAAGGGTATTGTCAAGTGGAGTTTTATGATTCTATGGCAGCTACGGCTTGCAAAGAGGGGATGAATGGTTATGAGTTTAATGGTAGGTCTTGTGTTGTTGCGTTTGGTAATCCTCATTCCATTAAGAGAATGGGGGAGGCACAGGTGAATAGGAACCAACAGGCGCAAGCTGTACTTGCACAAGCTAAGAGAGGAGGCCCTGTTGCTGATCCTCCTCCGAGTAAACCCGTTGTGACTCCCACTAACAATAACTTCAACGGCCACGCCGTTGGTGGGAATTTCCAAGGTGAGGAGAATAGAGGATTTGGGAGAGGTAATTGGGGTAGAGGAAATGGTCAAGGGATGGGTGCTAGAGGACCAGGTGGTCAAATGAGGAATAGGCCTGGTGGGATGGGTGCAAGAGGTTTCATGGGTAATGGTAGTGGTGGGTTTGGCCCAGGGCATCCTATGAATATGATGCATCCTCAATCAATGATGGGACAAGGGTTTGAACAAGCTTTTGGTGGACCCATGGCGAGAATGGGCGGTTATGGAGGATTCCCTGGGGCTCCAGGTCCACCGTTTCCTGGGCTTCTGCCCTCGTTCCCTCCAGGAGGAGTTGGTTTACATGGAGTTGCACCTCACGTGAATCCAGCGTTTTTTGGAAGAGGGATGCCGATGAATGGAATGGGAATGATGCCTAATGCTGGTGGTGATGGAGGGCACAATATGGGAATGTGGGATCCCAATAGTGGAGGATGGGGTGGTGGTGAAGATGTGGGTAGTGGAAGAGGTGGGGAATCGAGTTATGGGGAGGAAGCTGCATCGGATCATCAGTATGGAGAGGTTAATCACGATAGAGGAGCTCGTCAGAATCATGTGAAGGAGAAAGAGAGAGCTTCAGAAAGGGAATGGTCTAATTCATCTGATAGAAGGAATCGTGAGGATAAAGATGCTGGTTATGAGAGGGACATGCCTAGGGAGAAAGATGCTGGTCATGGCTATAATTTGCCAGAGAAAAGGCATCGTGATGATAGAGAAACTGGTCGTGAGCGTGAGAGGGAACATCATCATAAGGAGCGTGAACGCTCCAGGGATCGAGACAGAGAGAGAAACAGGGAGAGTGATCGTCATAGAGGAGAACGAGAAAGATATGGTGGTGGTGATCATCGTAATAAACACAGGGACGAACCTGAGCATGATGATGAGTGGAACAGAGGTCGATCATCCAGAGGACACAGCAAATCACGGTTGTCTCGGGAGGATAACCATCGCTCAAGATCAAGAGATGCTGATTATGGGAAAAGAAGGCGGCTTACAACTGAATAATAATCATGTAAGTAGTTGTATCTAATGGTTCTTTCATTCCTCATGTATCTTAAATTGTACCTTTCTTTTCCATGTATCTTAGTTTTTTGTCGGCATGGACATGTTATTGTCTCATTGTCTAAAACGTATGCACTCTTAGAACAACGCGTTTTGGATTTGTTAGTAATCATTCTGGAGTATACTTTTGCCTATTTTCTTTGCTGACTAAAGTTTCTGTTGTCTTCTTAAATTTATAGCGTTATGGGTAGACTGACTTTGAGAGCTCTTCCAAAATTCTGAAGCCTTGTGGAAGAAACAAAAGCGGAAGAAAGAAGACATCAGAGAACGTCCGACTCTTGTCGTAGAAGAAAGTCTCTCACTGGTGGATCTCGTCTTCAACTCAGCTTACTTACGTAGATGTGGAAAGGAACTTGGCAAACGTTTGCGTTGTTTAAAGTTTTAAGACTCCTTTTACCATTTTTATGTGAAACTTCTAAGACCATTGTGTTGTGGTGATGTTACTTATGGCCTTTCGGGTGTCCATCCATTTGTGTTTAGGTTTCTTATCTTAACTGTTTCTGAATTTGTTGTTCTGTAGTTGTATTAGTTCTCATTTCTCCATGTTCTACCCATTGGATTGTATTGTATGTTTCATTGTATTTGTAAGTCCTCATCTGTATTAGGATCTACGTCAGAGGTCATGGATACATGACAAATGTAATAGCGTGGCATCCTTTGGGGAATGTGTTTTTGTGATCTCCAAATGTGATGTAGTAGATCATCTTACTTTTGTATTGTTGTAGAGGGAAACCAATAGCTCTTTGTTCAAATGTGTACATAATAGAAAGTGAGGCTTATTCACGTTCTTGGTCTTTTAGCTATGAACACACTCCTCTCATCATTGGCATACATTTTTTCCCCTATATTAGCACTGGCCAAGTTGAGTCGTCCTTGCTTGATTCGTAGCAGTGAATTTCGTTTAGTTTGGTTTCTTGTTTGCTTGGCTGAAATGTATTCATGCAATCTATCAATGTTGTACGCTCAGCTTGGTCTTTTTTTGTTTTTTATTGTAAAGATCATTAATGTCGACATCAGTGGTCTCCTAGAAAAAGCATGTGAATATTACATCTTTTGAGTTTGAACAAAAGCTCTTAAAAATGAAAACCCAAAAATCACTAGGGTGTTTAAGTGGTGCATAAATCCTGAAGGAGCTTTTGTCAAATTGTCTACACAAATGAAGCTGCTTACATAAAACGTTAACCAATCCTCATCAGCTTCTCCTTCTGACTCTACCAAAAGTAAAAACAAACAAAAGAATCCCTGCTTGTAGCACAACTCCAGACCAGAAACAAGAAACAAGTTACAAGCTCTAAAATATTTGCTTAATGACATGACGATAGGCAAATGGGGATAGAGACAGACCCCTTGGAGACTAAACTGAAGCTAAGACTACATTTATATGATTTGTGATCAGGCCTTAACCTCCTCTCCACCACCAGATTCTCCATCTTTCTCTTTCTCAGCATCCTCTTCTTCTCCTTTCTCATCCTCGGCTTCGTTTGCTAGCTTAGTGAGCTCATCTTGGATCATCAGCTTTATCGATGATTTTCTTGACGTGAGATCGAGACTGAACTTCTCAGCTGAAAGACAGGTGAAAACAATGCACGTTAGCCAATGAAAACAGAAACAACATGCAGGACCATCAAACAATGCACAGCAACAATCTCATATGTGCTCATACCTAGTCGCTTGAGGATGTCAGTGAATGTGGCCTGTCAACAAATGATACAACCTTTGTTAGATATCTACCTGCTAAGCTCAACTACGATAGTTTCATGACACAAATGTTTCACGGTTTAAATCCTCACCGTGTTAAAGTCCACCCCTTTCAAGATATCAACGATTGCAAATCCCAACTCCTCATCACTAGGCTCCTTGTTTTTGCCTTTCCCTTTTCCGCCTTTTCCTATTAGAAGACAAACAAAAGTAACAAACACAGATAAAACATAGTTTCAGAAAAGGAAGAGGCTACAAAATATAAGATTAAGTATTAAGATTTCCCACGCTTCTGACAAAGCATGTAGTCAAATGTGCTTCGTTCATAATGAAATATTTTAAAAAGATTATGACCAAACCTGGTTTCTCCTTTGATGCCGATTTTGAAGGAACCGAAGACTGTTCCTTGGCCGGTTTTTCAGTCTTCTTCCTCTTAGAGGATGATGCCTTTGGACTTGAATCACTGTCGTCGTCACTCTTCTTTCGTTTTCCTGCTGAGCGCTTTTGAGTAACTTTCTTTGGGGGTGGACTGGATTTCGTGGAGACTGCAGCTTTCTTGCTTCTTGATTTCCCACCTGCAGATTTCTTTGCAGATACAGTCCTAGAACTACGCTTCTTCTTCTTCTTAGTTTCTTCCTCTGACTCCGCCTCAGATTCATCTTTCTCCTCCTCACTTTCAGAAGGCTGAGGCGCCTCATCATCTGATTTATCAGGAATCCCGTTTTCATTATCCTCCTCTTCGATCTCTTCTTCCTGCTCGTTCTCTTCTTCTTCTTCCTCCTCCTCTTTCTCTTCTTCAGACTCATCATCAGAATGAGGTAAGCTCTTTTTGTCAGTCCTTGTTGCTTCCTTCGTCTTCTTTTGGCTCTGCAAAAACATATTATCAGATTTCAGTTAACTTGACCAGACACAAGGACAAATGGGCCATGGAAAACAGCCAAACGCATGAAACCGACACACACATTCTCTTCGCAGTTTATATCACAAGGGTTTAAAGCTCCAGTTCCAAACTATTGAATTAATACCTTTGCTGATCGTTTTGAAGACGAACTTCCAGCCTGTGACCTCTTCTTAGGAGTTCTTTTGCGCTTTAAGCCCTTTACAACAGAAAAAAATTGTAATAAAGATTTGAAGCTCAACTGCAGAAAGAAGCATTTCTAACACGAAAGTTACCTTCTCTTTCTCAAAAACTGGAACATCAGTTGTCGCATGAGGTTTTTCCAAAAACTCAAACAGCTTTGCAATGACATCTTCCTATATTTTGGGAGAACAACCAGACAGTCAGAGTTGCCAAGTTGGTTACATAACTTACATTAGAAACAAGAACATAGAAACGAATTGCCATAATAACCTTTTTTCTTGTACTAGACTTGGTAACTGGTATGTCCAAGAGTTCGCAGAACTCCAGCAACTTTTCTTTGTTGCATTTGTCGAGTTTTTCTTGTACTTTATCTTTTGCCTTTTCCTGCCATGCGAAGAAACAAACTATGTAAGGAAAAATGAGGGAGAACAAGCCTAATTTGTTATATGCCCACCTCATCTCCTTGCCATTTGTAACCAGAAAAGCGCAAAATGTTTGCCTTGACCTGAGCAGCCTGTCAAAGCAAGAACACGAGTCACATGATTAGCAGAGACTCTCAATAATCATAAGGATAGCAATGGATGTAACTCCTAAGAATTTCAAACTACATTTGAATCCACACATGAACACGCATTATCTAATGGGATGGCTGAATATGAAAAGGACCAACATGACACTCACTTTTCCTCTTCTCCCACCAAATAGAATGGTGTGCAGCAGCCTTAAAACTTCATCAGCCTTACTCCTTCCTATCTTGTAAGCAACTGCAGAGAAACAGAAAAACTTACCAAATTCCTTTCACGTGATTGAGCACATGGGACAAATAAAGTACTTAGGAAATACGGTCCTGGCAATCAACTTCGAAATCGGGCCATTCTTGCCTTTAAACCAGCTCCAATCACTAAACTCAAAACATCTCTCAAAAAGGACACACAAGTCCAGAAGACAAAAAAAATATACATAAGAATATCAAGATTCAAGCCTACACATTCTAAAATCTTAAATAAAATGAATACCACCCAGTACTACAGCTTGCAGACTGTTCATCATACAGTAAATAGTGGGAGGAACCTTAAAATATCTATTTGGAATACGAACATACCATTGGGGATATCTTTGAGAGGTGTTCCTTTTCCCTGCAATATCCAAAAGTAAGTCATAAACATGTTAAACAAATAATACACTATACAGAGACCAAAACACAAGAAGATATTAGCAAACCTTTTCAATTTGGAGTTCCTTTGAAGAATCTTTATCAACCACTGCGACAAGTCTTTCAACAGACTTTCGCTCACGGACAGGGCGGTCACTGCTGTAAGGGGTCTTAGGTTCAATATCCTTCTTTTTTTCCTCACTCTTTGTCTTCCGGCGAGCCTTCTCATTCTTTCCTTTTCCTCGCTTGCTGTCTTTATTTTCATCTTCCTTAACATCTTTGCTCTCTTCTTTTTCATCTTCCTTCTCGTCGTTTGTCTCCTCTTTATCTTCATTTTCACCCTCTGCTTTTTCGTCTTCCACTTTCAGCTCATCGACCTCAGCGTCTGCTTCCACTTCCTCTTCTTTGTTTGTTTTTTCCTCACTCTTTGCCTTCCCGCGAGCCTTCTCATTCTTCCCTTTCCCTCCCTTGCCAGACTTCTTGCTATCTTCATTTTCATCTTCCTTATCATCATTGCGCTCTTCTTTTTCATCTTCCTTCTTGTCCTTTGTCTCCTCCTCTTTATCTTCATTTTTATCATCTGTTTTTTCGTCTTCCACTTTCAAGTCATTGACTTCAGTGTCTGCCTTCAGTTCATCTTCTTTGTTTGCTTCCTTCTCCCCTTCTTTGTTTGTTTCTTCCTCCTTCTCATCTTCAGCCATTTTACCCTCATGCTTTTCCTTTGGTGCCTCTTCCTTGTCATTATCCTTCTTTTCATCCTCACCGACACTGTCTCCACCAACCAACTTCTCTTCCTCTTTGATGTCTTCTTTATTCCCTTCTTCGTTTCCGTTTACTTGCCCTCCTTCTAGCTTCTCCTCCTGTGATTCTTTCTCAGTCTTATCCTGGCCTCCTTCAGTAGTATTTTTCTTGTCCACCTTTTGATCTTCGGCACCACCTTTAATGTCTTTATTGTCTTCAGACTCCACGGTTTCCTTCATCACAGTATCCTCCTCTGTAGCATCTCCAGAAACACCATCATCAGCTTCCAAATTCTTGACATCTGTGTCTTCGTCCATTTTATAAGCTTCTGGTTGTCCTTTCTCTTCATCCGTTTTAGCAGTCTCAGCTATCTCCTTGTCCTCATTGACATCTTTCTCTTCTGTTTTCTCAGTTTCAGCTTTCTCCTTGTCCTCACTGACCTCTTTCTCTTCTGTTTTCTCAGTCTCAGCTTTCTCCTCTCTATCTTCATGTTGCTTGATCCCACCATCTATCTCCATTTTCTCAGGTCCAGTATCCTCATCATTCTTGCTTCCCTGTGTTACTTTGTCACTAACATTCTCCTCCGCCAGCTTTCCAGTGATAGCATCTGATGGCTTTTGAAGAGAACCGTCCCCGTTTGCTGTTGGCTCCAGAGTAACTTTCGTATCTTCTTCCCCCATCGTTAATCCAGAGTCTTCAACAGATCTTCAACACCAGATTCACGAAAAGGCTGTGAAAAAAATATAATTTCAGAATTAAAAAATTCCACCAAAAGGTTTCTGAAACAAAGTCATGTCAAAGAAAGATTACATAACCCAATAACAAGTGACATAAAGCACAAATTTTCATAAACACACAGAAACAGAATGTGCAAAGATTCATAAAGCATTCCAAGGCATATTGTAAACTTCATTGCATTCATATGGGCTCTCTAAACTGAGGAATTAAAAACAAAAAAAGAAGCTTTATTTTCTTCAAAGGAAATATACATCCACAAAGTTCTTAATGTAAACAAGAAGGGTAACCAAACATTATCATAAAGTTGAATACTTTCTGGAGAAAAACAAAACATAGATTTAGATCCAAAATCAACAAACTCAAAGAGAATAATCCAAGAACTCACACAGCAGTAAAGAGAGGTTACTACTCTCTCTCAAACCTCAAATTCGTAAAGATTCTCAGCTAACCTAGCCACAAATTCGTAAATCAGAGAGTACAAACCCTAAACGCGACTTCAAGAAGAAACACAAAATTCGAGAAAAGAAAAAAAAAAAAGAAAACCCATATGCGATTTCAGACGAAGCTCGAAAGATCAAACAAATGGAAAGCTCACAGTGATGAAAAGGAGAAGACTTTGGAATCTCACCTCTCTCGCTGTGCTCTCCTCAAAGGACTGAACTTTTTTTCCTTGATTTTTATTTTTATTCTGTTCGCTCCGATTTGGGGATTTTAAATACAGTTAATTACCCGACGTGAGTTTAATGGACGGTTCAGATTAATACTCTCTCGTCTATCGGTGACGGTACACAAACCAAACTTCCGGTCCGGTAAGATGATTAAATATCAGTAGACAATAAAATTTCAAATTCAATAAAATTTCCGGTCCCGTACGATGACTAAATATATAAATATATAAATATTTTTCAATTACGTCATATTAGATAGGGTTGAGACAGATCCGGATATCCGGAAAATCTGAACTATCTGGATCCAGATCCGGATTCATCGAATCCGTGATTTTAATATTCAAATCTGGATTCGTGTCTTCCGGATATTCGGGTTTTGGATATATGTCTAAATATTGTGATATCCGCGGATATCCGGATTCATATCCGTAAAAATAATTAAATTTAAAAAATTAAAATTGTTTAAAATAATACATAAATTAAATATTTATGCATAATTTATGAATATATATATGAATATAATATCTTAATATTAAAACAGAATATTATAAACTTATTTTATATATAAATATTAATATATTAGATATAATTAATAATAAAATAAAAAAAATAATATATTTTTTAAAATACGGATCCGAATCCGGATATCCGGACCTAAAAATTAAGATATCCGGATCCAGATTTGGTTTGCATGGATGACCTTAATGTAAAATATCTTCAAAATACAACAAATATCTATGTGTATACCAAAAACACATATTTTCTCCTACAAATATGGAATATTCTAAAAGAATATATATCATCAAAATATGGAATATGGAAATCTACTAATTATACTTAAATTAAACCAGTGGTTATTTATGTAATATAGTTTTGGGCTTACTTTTATTTTTTGAACAAATTATATAGTTTGGTTTTTGCGCTTAGTATTAAGAAAAAACTCCAAAAACATTGAATAAACTTTTCACCTTAAAAGATCAAAAAATCAATTATTATTTTCAGACCCAAAATGTATTTAATATTTTTAACTAAACAAAATTATCCATTATTAATCATTTATTTAAATCATGTACTTTAAAACATGTTAATATATTTTTTTTATGTTAAATAACAATCACTTTTTTGATAAATTTCAAGGGTAACTTTTAAATAATTTATTGTATTATTTTTCTTAAATAATTTACTGATTAAAAAAATGTAAAGCAAAACCAAAAACCAAATCTAAAAACTAAAATCCAAACCAGAAGCTGAAAACACATATTATATTTTTTTGCTTTGTTTATTGAGAAAATAAACTATTTCAATATTTTTTAAAGAAATTGTTTTCATCTTTTTAGTTTTAAATTAGATGTTCGATTATTTGAGATTTGTTTGTTGGTAATATTTGTTCAAACTAACTCAGCGGGTTTAAAAATTAAAAACCCAAACCAAAAACTGAAAATGAAAAGTAGAAAATTAAAAACTAAAAACCAAAATCCAAAATCTAAAAATAAAAACTGAAACTAAAAACTAATGAAAAACAACCATCACCACAAATTTTGGTGAACTGATTTTATATCAAAATATTATTTAAATTATGACAAAACCCAATTATATAAAATTTTAATCATAAAAGATTTCCGCGCTTTTAAGCGCGGGTCCAAATTTAGTTGTCATTTAAATTTAGATCATTTCTAGAGTGTTACAAATAATACAAGCGAGATAGTTTAATTGAACTGTATTACTTAAATTAAACCGGTGGTTATTTGTGGAATATAGTCTTGGGCTTACTTTTGTTTTTAGAAAAAAAATATATGGTTTAGTTTTTGGGCTTAGTATTAAAGAAAAGCTCCAAAAACCATTGAATAAACTTTTAACCTTAATGGATCAAAAAATCAATTATTATTTTTAAATGCAAAAGGTATTTATTTTTTTTTTAAAAACAAAATTGTCTATCATTAATCATTTATTTAAATCATGTACTTTAAAACATGTTAATGTATTTTTTTTGTTTTAAATAACAATCATTTTTTTTGATAAATTTCAATGGTAACTTTTAAATAATTTATTTTTTTATTTTTCTTAAATAATTTACTTTTTTATAAAAATGTAAAGTAAAACCAAAATCCAAATCTAAAAACTAAAATCCAAAACCAAAAGCTGAAAACACAGGTTATATTTTTGCTTTTGTTTATATACAAAATAAACTATTGCAAATTTTTTAAAAAACTTTTTTTGTCATCTTTTCAGTTTTAAATTAAGATTTTTAATTATTTGGGATTTTTTTGTTGGTAATATCAGTTCAAACTAACTCAATGGGTCTAAAAATTAAAAACTCAAACCAAAAGCTGAAAATAAAAAATATAAACTTAAAAACTAAAAACGAAAATCTAAAAATAAAAACGGAAACTAAAAATTAATGAAAACAATCATCACCACAAATTTTAATGAACTAATTTTATACCAAAACATTCTTTAAATTAAGACAAACCCTAATGATATCAGTTCAAACTAACTAATTTTATACCAAAAGATTCTTTAAATTAATACAAAAACTAATGAAAAACAAGATACTCTTAGAGCAAGTGCAGCAAAGGTTCATGGGGCAAAGTCACATACTTCCCCCCAAAAAAATATTATAATGATTATTTTTGATGAACTCGGCTCGTAACGGTTGCTCCTGTTGAACCGGTTCATGACTGTTTTTGCGGGCCCTACACCACGTGACAGCCCGCTATTGGTCCATTTTATTTAAAGTCAAACGAAAAAATAATAATAAAAAATTAAAATCATAAACCCCAACACGGGTTCACTGATGCGTATGCCCTTAGCATTTTAACACACACGCATAATATATGCTTTACGTGAAACGATAATTATTAACTTTTATAAATATTCTTCTTTTCAAAGCAAAGAAAAAGAGTACAGGGCCTAACCCAGTGTTTATTTCTATAAATATTCAGAAATGATAATTAGTTACCAATTATATATTTTCAGATACTACATACACACTCTTGAAATTAAAAGTTAAGTTCAACAACTAACCTTTTACCTTTCTACCTTTCCATCCTTTCTAATTTTAACTTTTAATTGACACCAATAGTTGACAATAACTTCTAGTTCTATAAAAAGGATTCATAGTTGAACAAGATACGAATCATACTAGCTCAAACCGAACATTGCTATAAACAATTAAAGTTTCTTATCAAAACTATATATTATTAACATATGATGTAAAATGATAGGCACAATTACGAGTTCTAGCCCAATACTAAAGTTCCAACAAGAAGTCCAGCAAAGCTTTGTGACTAATTCTCCTTTTCCTAATTGACAATAACCTATTGTATTATCTTACATGAAATAACCTATCTCTAGGTACGTCACTTCTTGATCTGTATCTGACATGGACCTCTTATCCATGAGGACTTGGATAAGGGTTCGAATTGAACCATATGGTTTATTTGAAAACTATGCTTACATCATAGTTGGTGGAATTGTCCTTCAAGAGGAGGGTACCTGTTGGCTTTGCGCTTATGGCCGGACTATCAATGCGATGCTGAGAATCAGAGCATATATCCACGATCATTCCATTGATATGGTTTCCATTTTGCTGATTATGAGAAGCCAGAACCTTCTAGGAGATGATATGCGTATTAATGATGTTCAGTCGCCAAGGCATACTGTGGTTAATATTGGCTTGGCATTGAAAGGCCGCGTCCCCTTCCCGCCCCCCGAATAAGCTCAGCCCCATGTTTTTTTCTTCCTAATTTGTCTTGTTTCTAAATCTTGTTTTTGTTTTGGTTTAGTATGTTCAACATTCACCACCACCTCGTTATGGGGTGAGTAGCTTAGATCTTTTCGAGGCCAGTGTTTCAGTTCTGTTTTTCAATTCGAAGTTGTTCTTGTCAGTATTTCAAGGGTTTATCCAGTTTATATCGGTACCCATGCCTATCCTGCCCTTTCTTTGCACGATGGCTATCATTTCGTTCTTTTTATTAAATTTTGGCTACTATTTTCCTAATTTTTACATATTTTTTTCAAATATTTATTTATCTGTAAATAGTAATAATAACATGCAATCAATGAACCAAAAATTCATCTTAAAGTTATTTTCAGTCATAACATTACCTTATTCACTATATTATTGACTTAAATGCAAAAAAAAATTCTTTTAAATCTAAGTTCTCACATCTTTCGTTAAATAAAATCCGTCCAATCTTCAAAACCTAATTATATATAAATCATACATTATAAGAGATTAATAATTATTATAGATACAACTATATTTTATATGAATATGAAATCATTATATCTATTGCTATAAATTATTTTTTCTATTCATTTTTATGTAGTATATAAATATAAAACAATTAATCAAAAATTTTTACATTTTCAAAAAATTTAAAAATTAGCTACCATTAATTTTATAATAAATTATATACTATGAAGATTTTAAAATCATGTAAATTTATAAACTCGTTTTATGATCACTAATAGTTATTATAATGTCTTTGTATCAAAATTATATGTTTTATCTATGTTATGACTTATATGATAAAATAAAGTTATTGTACCAGTGTTTATAATAGAAAAATAAAGTTATTGAATTAGTTTTATCAACTATTTTTAAACATATACTTTATGCATTTATAAATAGACTATTAGTGAAAGTATATAAATGAAGAAGTATTATATATATAATTTTTATAATTACTACAGTTAAATACTATTAATGATTATACATAAGATTATATGTATTGTTTGGCAACTAACATTAATTAGTTTAATATTACCTCTTTTAAATTTGATTAAAATAAATAAAAATTAAAAATTCATTGACCAATCAAATTATAACAATTTTATTAAACTTCATATATGATTGACACATAAACAAAAGCACTTAAGTGAATTCGAAATTAATATATACTAGAATCCGCATGTGTTTGGTATTTTACTATCTTTTAAAGGAAACGAAAACCCAACATCATATTCTCTGCCGGGTCAATTGCGAGAACCGAATCCGGATCCAATCCGGTTCAACAAATACCATTTATTGATGGTTTGCAAAGAGCTGAGAATTCAATTCGTGTTGGTTGTTTAGAAGCTAGCTAGCTCTCATTCGATCTTTGTAGATTAAGACATCTACCTAAGACCACATTGAGCTCCTCCTCCCTCGCGGCTACAAGATGATTCTGCATCGAGCCGCAAGCAGCGGTTTAAGCAGAATCTGAAGGAAGCAGACCAGAAAATGAATGTCTCTGGTCGTGAGAACAAAGTGTCCAACTTAAGAGAGCTTGTAGGCGGCATTAAGAAAGGAACTAGCATCTCAAAATGGTGTTTCAATAGACTGGCTTGACCCACATTGCCATGAATCTGAGTTTGAGAAACAACATCATCTCTAATGCTCCTTTTATTTTTATATCCTCATTGTAAACGTTAAATAATGCAAACATACATACATGACTTTTAGTTTGGTCTGCAGTTCTTTGGAGTTTGGTCTTAAGAGCATAACAACAATAACCGAAAAAAAAAACAGAGCTCCATCAGATATTAATAGCAAAACAATCAGTTTTATTAGACAAAGTGTTCGTATCAATCCAAATCATATAATGATAACGAATAACGGAATGAGCTTACCTTTGAATCTGCGAAGTAGTCTGAGCATGAACAATGTTAGAAGTCGTCAAAGTTCCAGATTCATCAGCTGCTCAACCTCTTCCATGATCCCAGCTATATCTTTCTCATCAATCTTCCCCATCTCTTTCAGCTTATACATAATAAACTCAGCAGCTCTACAAAACACACACAAAAACAACCATAAGAAAGAAGAAACAATGAGACTCTCACCCAACAACTCCATCCTCATCAAGATCAGCAGCTTCAAGATCATTATTAGTAATCCTCCTAGTCAAAACCCATTTCACCAACTCTCTCTGTTTACTCTCCGCATTCAACTCAGCCACATATATAAAAAACTGAGCCAAACATATAGTACTCGTCAAGATCCAAAACACAGCGAAAACCCTCCCAGTCCCCGAGTTAAAACTCTTATCTCCATACCCTAAAGTAGTAACCGTGGAACACACGCTACAGAACGCTTCAATAACCGGAATCTTCTCATACATCACAAGAAAAACCGTACCGACAAAGAAAAGCACCACAAGTACGTATAAGAAACGTGACATAACATTTGTATCTCAGCTTGTTAGTATGCAACTCCTTGAGACGATACAGAAGTAGACGGCGTCTAAGGATTTAGTAATCTGATAATAACTGGCGGTGACAACTTTCTCTGCATACATAAGTTCTCTTTGTCAATGACAGCAGCAAGGGAACCCACAAGTTGAAGCAATAGGTGAATATCTTCCAATAATGACGTACGTTGAATCTCCGTTTGCGTTCATCATAGAAGTCGTAAATCTTGTTGATAGATCTAAATGATCTTAACGTCGTCAGATAAACCAAAGATTTTGCTGGTTAGATTAGGGTAAGATGAAATAGTAAATATATTGCATATCATAGTCAACTTATTTTTTAGCTAGACAGTGAATTATAGTAATTTTTTGGTGGTCATACAATACAATTTCCCTTGATTTTATCAAATTTGGTTCGGTTTAATTATATCAAAGTGACTTAAAAGATATAAGAAGCCCATTAATGTATTACAAGTCGGCGTACAAAAGAGAGATAAAAAGATTGAGAAAAGTTCTTGAAGTTCCTTCGTGAAAAAACCAAACCGGAAGTTCCCCAGAGTAATCGAATTACTAGTAGCAAGGCTTAATTCTCCGAAAGAACATGGATGTGATAAAGACTCAACAGATGTCGGCAAGTATGATCGAGAAGGTGGTCGTTCACCCACTCGTCTTGCGTAATATCGTCGACAATCACAACCGTCTCGTTAAGGACTCGGGAAAGCGTGTTGTCGGTGCTCTTCTCGGCAGTATCTCCCGTGGTATCGTTGGTGTCACCAACAGCTACGCAGGTTCGCCTTTTTTCTCCCTATTGTCGTTGGTGTTTTATGCCTATTAGGGTTCTAGCATAGCTTGATGTATGTATAACAGCAATTTAGGGTTAAAGAAAGAAAAAAAAAAATTATTGGGTTGTAGTTGAGTTTGTGTCCCTAGGAACCTACATGTTGCTTTCATATAACTTGTTGGTATATTGTTTTGTAGTGCCCTTCAATGAGGATGACAAAGACCCAAGTATCTGGTGTTTTAATAGCCACCACCTTGAGTACATGTTGGACAGTTTCAAGGGCCTTAATGGTGGTACGTACTTCTCAGAAACCTGTAGCTAGCTTGGATTATATATGCTCATGTTTTTGACAAAAAAAAAGAAGTAAAACTCTTTTTCAGGCATGGAGAATGTGGTCGGTTGGTACAGCACATGCCCTTACCTCAGAGACAATGATTTGGCTGTTCACTCTTCGGTCTTTAAGGGGTTAGTTTCTAGCTCATTCATATTAGCACTCTTATGTTCTGTTGACGGGTTTGATTTAAGTTACAGCAGAGCCTTGTTTTATTTTCAGTTAAATTCGTTTTACTACTGCAGCTGCAGCTATGTTCTCAGTCCAATTGTGTTGGTCACTATTGACGTCCGGTCTCTAGAACTTGGAATTCCCGCAACCGCAAAAGCTTACTATACAGTGGATTCTTCTCTCGGAAGCGGCAAAGAAGCCTTCCTCCATGTGTCTACAGAAATTGCTCCTCCTGAAGTTGGTACGTCCCAAAATGTTAAAAGCCTCTCTTTTGTTATATTGTATCTGAGCACATGGTTTATTTATTCTTGATTTCTATCAGGCGGGAGGCTCCTGGTGACGGAGATGACTCCTGGTGGGGATAATGATGCGGTTGAGAGTATCGAAGCTCTCTACCGTTTTGTCCAAAAAAAGTGAGTTTTTTTAATATATCTTATTATATGAAGATATTTCCTTAATTACTTCTTTTTTTGATGATATAGGGTTAGGATTAGTGTTTCAGGATATGACACTTCTCTTAATGTTCTTGACCTGCTTGGCTCTTTGGAGAAGCACTTTGAGTCTTGTGGTTCCGTGGAGAACATTGACGTGCCGATACACCCGGTCACCCATGCCATTACCGACAGGTTTGTGTCAGCTTTCTTTACTCTAGTTTTTTTTTTCATTTTAAAAATATTTCATTATTCCTAACTAACAAATTGTTTTCATGATAAATAGATGTTCTACTGTGTGTCTCCTCGGAGAAGGTGCAGCAGAGAAGGCATTGGCACTCAACGGTAGTGATGCGGGTGGATGGATAGTTTCGGTTGCGCTTTTACCACCTGAATGTAAAGAGATGGCTGCTGGGATGAGTGCTCGTGAATTTGCACTTAGTATAGTCGAGCTCGGTAACAAAATTTTGGGCTTAACTAAATAAAAAAAAACTAATTATCATAATTTGTCTATTGAACAATAAAAATAAGTCTCTGTTTTGGTTTTAACTGTTAGTTTGGTCTGATTTGAATTATTTGATTTTCAATTAGTTTGGTTAATAAAATTGTGCCAAATTGAACTGGACTAAAATTCGATTCAGTTTGGTAAGAAAAAGTTCTTGGTATTAATTTTGTTAAAAAAAATAGAGGGTTCAGATTAGGGGTGTACACTTTATCCGATACCCAAACTCGTATCCGAAACCGACCCGAAATATCTGAACCGAAATCTGAACCGAAGTAGCAAAATACCCGAACGGGTATTGAGTTAGAAGAGTTTGGATCTCCGAACCCGAACAGATAATACCTGAATCCGAACGGGTTTCCGAAGATAACCAAACATATGTATATATATATACCTATTTATTTCTAGTTTATTTTGTTTCATTTTATTAAAACTATTTATATTAAAGCTATAAATAGTTTAATATCAGATAATATACATATAATTGTAAAAAAAATGATTTGTTACTCATTTAAAATGCATATTAAGCTTCTTATTTCTTATTTTAAACAAAATTTGCATCCAAAATTTGAAAATAACAACCAAAATAATGTTTTTTATATTCAGTAATTTATTTTCAAACTTATTAATTGTCTAACTTATTAAACATTTTAAAAACAGTTAAGTTAATAGTTAAATTTTAAATACACGAAACTTAAGTAATAAAGAATTTAAAAAATTTCTTCCAAAATCTAAATATCTGAACCCGACCCGAAATAACCGAACCCGAACTAAAAATATCTGATTCCGACCCGAAATAACCGAAACCGAACTAAAAATATCTGATTCCGACCCGATATGTAAAAATACCCGAATGGGTTCTAAACCCCAATACCGAAATACCCGAAAACCCGAAATACCCGACCCGAACCCGAATGGGTATCCGAACGCCCACCCTTTAATCTAGGCCCGGCCCTGATAGGAAGCATTAGAAGCATGGGATTCTGGCGTTCAAAAATATATACTCCCTCCGTTTCAAAATATATGTCATTCCAGGTTTATTTTTTTGTAACAAATTAAGTGAATTTATTAGTTTTATATAATATTCTATTTTTCTATTGGTTGAAAAGTGGTTAGGTGTATAGGTAATTGTGTATTTATCTTGGAAATATGTAAAATTAAATATTTCCTTAGTCTATGTGCAAAAACCTAGAATGACAAATAAAGTGAAACAGAGGGAGTATAAGTTTTGGCCAATTGTTGACAAAATATTTCTTTAGTCTAGTGGTTTCTATTAAGCAATGAGCTTAGCAACCCGAGTTCAAGCCAATGTTGGGATATTATTGGCCTTTTTTCTAAAAAAAACTTCTGGTTATTTGCAAGTCAGGTTACTATACTTAATCTCTTGGGTAGTTTGATTTGTAATTTGGGTTGAGGATGATATGGTTTGGTTACGTATAACATAAAACTTTAATTTAAGAAGATTATCCCGGCTAAATATATTAAATAATTTTTAATGAAGTCATGATCGTTACAAAAACTAATATAATTTAATAATGTGTCAAGTAATTCTTAATCCTTAGGTGATTGGCATTTAACCTTTTTTTTAAGGAAACGAATCATATTCTCCGCCGTGTTAATTGCGATAACCGAAAGCGGATTCGATCCGGTATAAACCCAAACAAATACCAATTACTGATGGTTAGTGTTGGTTCCTTTCTTTGTCTCCTCTTTGTAAACGTTTAATATCATCACTCAACAGAACTTTGAAAGCAACAAAACACTCATCACAATCATTTTTCTTTGAGCTAATCAAATGCAAACAAACATACATGACTTTTAGTTTGGTTTGCAGTTCATTGGAATTTGGTCTTACTCTTAAGGAGATAACAACATTAATGGAAAAACAGAGCTCCATCACAATATTAATATCAAAAACTAAGTTTTATTAGACAAAATGTTCGTATCAATCCAAACATATATATGTAGTCAAAGAGTGAATACTAAAAACAATGCATTACAAAACAGAAACAAATAAATGTTCCAAAAAAAAAAAACTGTTTCACTTTCTCTGCTTTGTGTGTAGGTTATTAACTTAACAAAGATCCTGATTCATCATGGCTTACCTTTGTATCTGCGACGTAGTCTGAGCTAAAACAATGTCAGAAGTCGTCAAAGTTCCAGATTCATCATAATCCAATTGCTCAAACTCTTCCATAATCCCAGCTACATCTTTCTCATCAATCTTCCCCATTTCCTTCAGCTTATACACTATAAACTCAGCAGCTCTACAACACACAAAACAAAAACAACCATAAGAAAAAAGAAACAAACAAGAGAGAATAAGTATCATGTCTCACCCAACAACTCCATCTTCATCAAGATCAGCAGCTTCAAGATCATTATTAGTAATCCTCCTAGTCAAAACCCATTTCACCAACTCTCTCTGCTTACTCTCTGCCTTCAACTCAGCCACATATAGAAAAAACTGAGCCAAACATATAGTACTCGTCAAGATCCAAAACACAGCGAAAACCCTCCCAGTTTTCGAGTTAAAGCTCTTGTCCCCATACCCCAACGTAGTAACCGTGGAGCACACGCAATAGAAAGCTTCAATAACCGGCATCTTCTCATACATCACAAGGAAAACGGTACCAACAAAGAAGAGAACCACAAGTACAAGAAACGTGACATAACATTTGTATCTCAGCTTGTTAGTATGCAACTCCTTGAGAATCTCCGTTGGACCAAAGCTCTGACGCAAATGAAAAGCCCTAACGAGTAAACTCTCTTGCTTCTCAACCAAGTAATCAGCAGCTCGGCTCAAGAGATGACCAACTAAAACCATCCCCGAGAAGACAAAGGCACAAGCAAGCAGCCTCGAGGTTGAGCTATTGGGAACAAGGTCACCGTATCCAACAGTTGTCATTGTGACAATACAGAAGTAGACAGCGTCTAAAACACCGTTGGTTTTGTGACCGGAGATTTGGTTTCTCACGAGGTAGAAGCAGATGGTGCCAAGGGTTAGGTATAGAGATAGGAGGAGGATGACTCGTCTGAGATTAGGGTTTAGGTCTCTGAACATTGGGAATTTGCTTGGATGAGGATGTGGCTCGTTGAGTTTGACGTCGTTGTTGTTGTTGTCGTCGTTGTAGATGAAGTCTCCACGAGGAGCGCTTCTAGAGCGACGGAGTCTTCTTTTTCTTGAAGAGGTTCTTGAGTTTATGTTGAAGTCTTGAGCCATGGGAGGTGACTGATCCTTAGGTAGCAATGGGTTACGTGCTGAATCGTTAGACATTTGATTAATCAAATTAGGTGGTTATGAGAGATCTGTCTGAAATCTGCAGATCAATCAAATCCCTTGTCAAGACTATGAACACTGTATCTGTAGACAACAATGACTCACTATAAAACCAGAAACGGTAATGAAATAAAAAACAGATCGAAACTAAAGACATTGTTTTGTTCTAAAATGTTGTTTTGAGAAAACGACAAACAGAGCGTCGGATTTTGAGAAAAGATTGAGACTTTCGGACATAATGTTCGCATTGGTGAGGAAAAGAATCTAAAGATTGAAACCAATCAACAAAGAACATAATCTGAGTTACATGCGGCAAAGAGAAGATTGTAGAAGAATATTCAGACCTGGAAACCGAAACTAGAGGAAGATGAAGGATTGAGACTTACCCAGAATCAAAATTGAAATAAGCGGTTTGATCGGATCTCGCAAATGTTCTTCTGCATTTGATGTTTTCTTTCTCACAGTTTGGCTAATTCTCTTGAGGTGCTTACTACTACTCGTTTTTTTTGGGGTCAAACTACTTCTTGTTTTATTCTGTTTATTTCCTTCTTCTGTTTATTTTGTGTCAACTTTCCCTCTTCTATCTGATTAACTATAAAATCATATTTTTGAATAATACTATTTCTTACGACTAAAAAATTGTAAAAACTTTTTTCTCGAAAATCCTTTTGTGAAAAACTCGCAGTTGGATATATAACATTTGTAGTAAAATATTTATTATTTCAACGAATTTGTTTCTTCATTTTTTTTTGTCCTTGTTGTACTTGGTCACTTAATAAAGTTATACCACATCTATTGGAATTCTCAACTATAATATCGAGATATTTAAAAATATCTTATAATAACATTACAATACTTAAGATGTTGATTTGATAAAATAATATATTGTTTACTTCTAAGATGCACATCATGATACCTTTTCAATGGTGTGCACTTGCATGCCGTCATGTGTAAATCTAGACATATTATATTATATTACTCTCATTCCACTATCTCGTAATAACGATTTTCAATTATTAATTTGTCATTTAATAGTGCTGTACCACAACTTAGCCAACTCTAATCCATCCATGTCAACATGTATTAATTTAATAAATTTCATATCGAAATAGACTTCATTTTTAATATTATCATCCAAAGTAAGTAAAACAAGAAATTAGGGTTAGAGTTTATTTTTTCGCTACTAAAACTTCTTGACCCTTGTAAATTCTAAAAACTAGTCTGAATAAAATCAATTCAAACAACAAGTAAACATATATAGTTTGTGTTCTTTAGTTGATTAATTAGGACACACTGTATTAATTTTCTGGTAATACAATTTATCGAGTCTAGAATTCATGTGATAGTTAGTTATATCCCACGAGATTAGTTCTAGCTTCCTTTCGATCGACTAGAAATATAGATAGTTTGATTATCATCAGTCTATATTTTTTTTTTAACATAGAACATAATTGGATTAGCATCAGTCATATACCACATTTTTGGAATATAATACATGAAAGATGTTATTAATGCACTCATGGTGATTACATATTTGTACATTACATGCTTTAAAACTTCTCCATACCACACAAACATAAACACACAAGCTTGATTACTAAGTGATTGATATATATATATATATATATATGGTGATTTAATATAATTCTAAAACATATTTAATTATCTTAGGCTCATTGATAGGATCGGACGTTGGTGGGGAAAGAGATTCGGATATTCAAACACCAAATATAAACAAACCCTAAAGCTGATCAGGCCAGAGAAATGACTCCATTGCAAAGACCCTCTTGGCTTCAAGAGATCCTTCGAAAGAGATGCCATATTGTTTGAGGAGCAAGTCAAGGCTGAGATCATCCATGGCTTCATAATCAGACTTGGAGTATTTAGGATAGTGAAGAGGAACTTGAAACCCACTTGGGAATTCCTCTTTCTTCAGCATCTTTATCTTGTTTTGGGTGCTTAGGCAGTTGCTGGCTTGATTGATTTGGTTCGAGTAACCGAACATTTGAGTGAAAGTTGAGGTTAATAGCCATTTCATCTCCATGGTCTCTGGCTGATTTTATGAGTTTACTAAAAGGAAAGAGGCTTTGAAGAGGAAAGGCGAAGAAAGCAATAATAAGAAGCTCAAACTCAAAGGTAAGCTTGAAGGATTGGTAAAGGCGTCCAAAGGCCTGTATTTATACTAGAGTGAGGCAGGTAAGACAAACTGATTTATTTTCCAAATATTAAATTTATATATTTCTTTAGGCATAGTTATCACAGTTGTCATTTGAAGTTTGTATTTATCATCAACATAATAAGTTTATTAAAATATATGTCTAAACACTAGATTGTATATAACGAGTATTTAATTGGTAAAGTAAAAGTTTTTAAAATATGATCATAACGAGTTTAACAATCTAATTAACATGATCAGTTTATGTGCTTGGAAAATTTGCTGCTATATGTTTCGAATATATATTTCTGGAAACTTCGATTTTTGGCCTATACATAATTTCTTTCAGTATTCGGAATCAACCATTAACTATATCACGTCCAAAGCATAAATCACCCTTTTAAATGGAGTTGAACTGGTCATCTTGTTGCCGTGAGTTTCCCGTATGCTAATAAAGGAGTTTGGAGGTCAAACATGGCCACTGTATTGCATTTTTGCTCGACACCCGCGTTTATATTATTTTATTAACCGAGCTAAAATATATTGCATTAGCAGCTAGCTAGTATATGTTACACAATTCATTACAAATGAATACTATAATTTTAATAGAGACCTAATGAAAAGCTATCCTAACATTACTAGTACAAAACATCATGAACCAAGTATTAAAAAGCCATTTATTTCTCTTATCATCGTGAGATCATACGCACCAAACCTTAGAAACTCCGTCACAAAATGGGAGAAGAACAGTTGGCTGCACCAGTATCGACCAGTGACGGTTCATGCACTGATTTTCTAGGTGGGACCAAAATGGAAACGGGTGGAGTATATTGTAGCTTGGTGTGCATGCAAGGAGGAAGAAGTAGGTGGAAGTATTTAATATATACATATTTAAGAGGAGGCCCCTTTTCAACTAAGACAATCGAATTATTTGGAGCCATTCATATGAGTTTCGTGTTTGTGTGGTGGTGGTGATGATGTGTCTCGTTGCTTTACATGCAGTCTATATATTACAATTGAAAATATCTCTCCTTTGAGCAACGATCATAGAGTTTTCCGATTTCTAAGTTTAGACCAATTTGGCATATATATATATATATATATATAATAACACTTTTAACACCTTTGTGCATATATAATAACAAGGTGTAGATACTATAGAATAAGGTCATTCCTGAAATTTCTAGAATTTGAAACAAGTTCAAGATTAGGAGTTAATTACATGAACTATACATATTTTTTCTTGATTAATTTATAGGATAATATATATACACATTAATCTGTTAAATTTGAAAGAGATTTGTTATATATAAAAGTAAGTGATATTCCTATAATTTCAAGTTGTTTTATATATTATTTACGCATTTGTTTTGTCGATCCGCCTGGAAGTTGTATTTTTCTTGGCCCTTTTCATATCACAAAGGGATAAATATTTTAATTTTAATTTTTTTGAATTGGGAAAACATGCGGATTTGTATATTGTGAATGCGGAAAAATCAACAAATTCTACACCACTGACAATAAAATTGGTAACCAAGGCAAAATGCAGAAATGAAGTCTAGAATATTTTTAAGATAAGCAAAAAAAAAAAAAAAAAAATATTTTTAAGAGTATCTATAACTCAAGTCTAATTTTAATCCAAAATAAAGTTTCAAGTACTATATTATATTATATAAGTAAAAATGAGTTCATTATATAAATAAATAATTATTTATCATCATTTTATTTTTAATCTCAAAATGAAATAAAGTTAGATTAAAACTGGAATATTCTATTTTTGAATTATAAAAAAAAAGAATAATACAGTAGAGATGCTCCAATGACTTCAACCTTTGTTATAGCTGTTCCGGAGTCATGCTTTGATTTGTTCTAATCGGAGATGGAGTGCGTTGACTTTAGGCTCAACACCTTCTTTCTATTTTTCCAGCAAGAGTAATAAACCTTTTTAGACTGATTTTCTTTTTCAGTAAAGACTCTCATCGATTTGATGAGAGTTTTGTTTCCTTCAAAATACTATGATTCGAATTTAGTTTTTATTAAAAACTATGATTCTGAACGTTTATAAACTTCTGGAGTTCTCCGTATTTGGAGACGAGACGGATCGTGACATAAAAAAGAGACAAGACCGAAAGAGATGTAAAACTAAAAGAGTTCAGTTGACTTTTCTTTAGACACGCTGACGTTTTTATTAAGATCAGCCCATTAAAGGCCCATGAAGTCATAACTAAACCATCCTATTAAAGGCCCATATAAATGGAGGTATTTTCCTTCTCTTTCTTCAACAAGCACCTGCTTTTAGCCAAACCCCTGAAACTTTTGAGAGAGAGAAAGAGAGAGAGATCATCCATGGGAACACCCTACTTTCTTCAGCTTCACCTTAATCAAAACTCATCTCCTTCCTCCCCGTCTCCACTCCCCGGATTCTCCTCCTTCCGATCTTCCAAACCGATCGTTTTTCGCCGCTACTCTGAGCTTTCTTAATTCACTTTTTTTCCTCCTTTAAAAATTCGGTACAAAAAATCATCCTCCTTTGCGAAAATCCTGATATGCCCATTACGTCTTCGTCATGCTTCAGCTGATTCCCGCAGTCAAAATCGCATCTTGGTGTTTAACGGCGCTCTCCAGCTTCTACCACTGTTTCCACGGCTTCTTCGTCTCCGATCGCTCCGAAGATCTCCGTAACTTCCCTCTCACTGGGGTTTTCTCCGCTTTCTCTAATCCCAACTTCTTCTTCGTCCGGATTATTTGATCTCCCCCCAAAGCTGGAAACTTTACATAAACTTCAAAGATTTAGCGTTAAGAGTGTTTAAAGAGTTTGCTTTTAGGGTTTAGGGTTAATTGGTTTTACAGGTTATCACGGTAATTAGTATATATATAAGATTATTTAACAACTGGCTTAGCTCCTATATCATTCAGTAGTTAGCTCTTTATCTGACACGTAAAGAAGGGTTGAGAAAATGTGCGAGAATGATCATCATTTTGTGGAGTGGAAAGAGCATTATGTGTCGCAGGAGAGAGGGAACCGTGTTGTTCATTACTTTCTGAAAGACTCTGCTGGTGAATCCATCCTTGCTGTGGTTGGAACTGAGAGAAGTGTAAGACATATGTTCTATGTTGTCTCTGAGGATTTCGTGCGTGTTTATGGTTCCGAGAATTCGATTCATTCTGGTTTCAAATGGAGGTCGAGGAGAGAAGTTGTTGATTGGCTCACTTCAATGTTGTCTAAACAAAACGCACAAGGAAACTGGTCGAGTACGTATTTTATCTTTATGTGACTCTCTATGAGGGACTCTCTTCTATCTTTATAACCTTGTTTACTGTCATCTACAGAGTCACCAAAATGTGATTCCGGGGAATGGAATGTATCTCCCGAGTTTCCAGGAGATGAGGTGATGTTTAGCTGCTCATTGCTTTAAACAATAGCAACTGCACTTTTTTTTTTCTCCTGTGTTACTGATGGAAAAAACTCTCTCACAGGTTCCGCATCTTAAAAACTTGAGGGTTCACAGTTGGGAGATTATGTGGTCAGGAACTTCCTGGATGTGTGGTAAACAGCTCAAACATTACCCATCATTTTGTAGGAATGGGACAACAATAGGGGTAAGCATAAAACTTGGCATCAGAGAGTATATTAACTTGTCATCGTGTTTGGATCTGTTAAGTTCTTGATCATGGATGGACTCTGTACTCACTTGAAGGTGTATTTCTTTTTTTTTTTTGGGATTTTCAGGTTCAGTCTTTTGTCTTTGTGATGAGCAAAGGGGATGATCGGTACGTTGCATATCTTGAGGATATGTATGAGGACAAGCGTGGCCTAAAAAAGGTCAGAGTGAGGTGGTTTCACCACACCAAAGAAGTGAAGGGTGCAGTTGCTCTCAAAAACCCACACCCGAAAGAGGTTTTCATCACCCCTCACTCTCAGGTCATCAGTGCAGAATGTGTTGATGGTCCCGCCACTGTCTTGACCCGTGACCATTATGAGGAGTGTATAGCTTCGTTTCCTAATTCTTTATTGGCAAGAGTTCACATGTGCTATCGGCAACTCAAGAAGAACAAAATTAAACCTTTTGACTTGAGTAAATTGCGTGGATATTTGGACCAACCGATAATGTCTTGCTTAAGTTCTGCGGAGGCTGATGCTGTAGTCTGTGGGATGAGTAAAGAGGAAGATGAACAGTGGAGTGAGGGTGAGAATGTAATGGTTGGCGCTGAGAGGAGCAAGAAGAAACGAATGATGTCTGACCATCTGTTAACAGCATATGAATCTTCATGTAAAACACTCAAACTTAATGCCTTAGGGAAAAGCTTTCTATCCCCAGTCGATGTTCATGGAGTGATGAAGCCTGATGCAAAAATAGAGTTTCTGTGTCAAGATAGCGGTATTAGAGGCTGCTGGTTTAGGTGCACTGTCCTGGAAGTATCAAGAAAACAGGTAAAACTCCAGTATGATGATATAGAGGACGAGGATGGATATGGAAACCTTGAGGTATATATTTGCTTCCACAGCAAATTGTTTCTGTTACAATATTTTGTTTGTCGCCTAATTGTTTTTTTTTTCTCTCATAGGAATGGGTGCCTGCATTGAAATCTGCTATGCCTGATAAGCTTGGTATGAGGTCGTCTAACCGCCCAACAATCCGGCCTGCTCCTCCTGATGCTAAAATAACAGACTTTGACCTTACAATTGGTGAAGCTGTGGATGCATGGTGGAATGATGGTTGGTGGGAAGGTGTTGTGATTGCCACTGACAAACCAAACGCTAACGACTTGCAAATATATATCCCTGGCAAGATTTTAGTGTTGTACTATTTTTATCATTTAGTCACTATTTGCCTACACTTTCTCCATCTTTGTATTAGGGCTGACATGTGTTTTGTTGTGATGATGTTAGGGGAGAACTTATGCTTAACAGTCCACAGGAAGGATATTCGGATTTCTAGAGATTGGGTGGGAGACAGCTGGGTTGATATCGATCCTAAACCTGAAATACTCTCTCTTGTGGCTTCTGATACTAGCCCGGAACCCAAGCTTTCCATGTCTTCCACCCATGCAAATGATGCAAAGCCAAATCCCATTGCAATGGCTGATATTGTTGAGGTGGCAAAAGATAGAGGAGATTCCTTTTTAGGAGAACAGAACGAAGAGCATAAAGATGATGGGGTTGTTAAGGAGAATGATGAAAGCAGACTGTTGAAAGAAGAGGATAAAGAGGTTGGAAGTAACCAAACTAATACCTACGTCAACCATGAAAAGACCGTGCAGGACCACAACGAGGATGATCTTACCCTTAACGATGAGAAGGCACGCAAATCAGAATCAGTCTTCACCCTATCAGAAACTACTACCACGCTGGTGACAACGTAAAGATACTCTCAGGTCATATATATAATGATGGTACTGGTACGTGATACATCTGTGGAAAGTTTGATGTTTCTGTATGTATATATATTGACATAGTTTGCAGACAAAAAAAAGAAGTGATTCTTGGTTTGGCTTGGATGGGTGCTGAGGAGAGTAAGAGTAGGTAAAGGTTGTATAGAAAAATGAAGAGGCATGATTTGGTAGGATTATTTAGGACTTGGATTGTTTTAGGTTTAAAGCAATGTGGTTAGGGAAAAAAACACACTTCGCTACTTGATATGTAATTTGTTTTTCGTTAGTTATGTATTGGTCAAGGGTCTTTTACGAACGATAAGCATAGATGTATTGCCTTTCATGGGAGTAAATACACTATATAACAAAACAATATTGGAAGAAACGAAATACAAGAAGTAACAAGTGCACAATGGAACTTAATCTATATATCTCTTAAATCTTTACTTTAGTCTCTGTTTGCAGAAGGGACCAAATACAACAATCCTTTATAAGATGTTCGTAGTACTATTAACAAGGTCAAAAAACACTACACAGAGATTGTGTTCTCTACTCCATGATTTACTTGAAAGAAGAGAAACAAAAAAAAAAACTTTACCACAACATCGCCATTTTCTCATCTGGTGAACAAAAGAATTACCTCTGTTGCCACGCCATTTTCTCTGGATTTTCTTTTCCTGTAAATGTTTGTATCTTGCAGAAACTGTGTAGTACCAGAAGTTAATGGTCATTCACAGTTCTGCTCATGAACCTCCTTCACCTGTTTTGAAGCAACAAAGAAACAAAACTGCTGACTTCCATTTTTCTATCGCTATCATCCTCTCTTTTCATACTTGTTTGCAAAATCCTTGAGTAACAGTCTCTGACGAAAAGCGAGATACTTATCTACACTAGTTCCCGCCCATTGTTGACAAAAGCTCTCATCGTTTGGAACCAGTGAGCTAAGAGGGAATGGACCTTTCCGCACTTTCTTTAACTCAACCAAGAACCGGTGGCGTGGGCGTATCCTTTGGTCCAAGGACAAGCTCAGGTACATTGGATATTTAGTCAAAATGTGCACCTCGTTCTTCAGCTCATTAACCAAATACATGTACTTTGGCTTTAGATTATCCTCCAGTGAAAGAGACAAAACCTATCAAGACCCATCAGAGAAGCATTATGAGAGCAAATCTTCTAAAGAGTTTTTTAGTTTGAAAACGAATCAAGAAACCTACTAACCTGTGTAAGGCTAGTTAAGACTTTCAATATATCAGAATTGCACATCCCAATGCTTCTAAGAAAATTGATCCGAGGCAAGAACCCATCATCAATACTATAGTGAAGAATCTGCGGATGTCTCTTCACCATCTTCACCACACTGTCCCTAGGAGCTCCCAACTCCTTGGAGAGGAACATGTAACGAGTGTTCCACGTTATGTCAAGCCGCTGAACAAGAATCTGAGGGCTAAGCTGCACAACTTTGCCAACATCGTTTTCGTTTATCCCAACTTCTTCGATCAAATACCTTATCGTTGGTCTCAGGGAGTTCTCGACACTGTAAGAGAACAGAGATGGAGTTACAGCAACTATCTGTCCTATTTTGGAATTGGGGATCCCAAGTCCCATCAGAAAGGAAATGTGAGCTTTGAGATTGTTCTCAACCGTGTATTGAAGTATCTGTGGTTGTCTCAACAGCATCCTCTTGATGTCTCTGTGTTTAACACCGACACTCAACAAGTAATCGAGTCTCTCTTGCGCTGACAAGACATTGATCTGAAGAGATGGCATGTGGCGCTCGTACATTTGAACAAAGTGTGATTCTTTCAGACCAAATGTGCTCAAGTAATCTAGGAGAGGTACCCATTTAGGATCTATATCTATCTCTTCTGAGAGCCTAGGGTATAGTTTCGCTACATGTTTCCTCGTGCTTACCTAATAAAACAAAGCAAAATTTCAACAAAGTTGCTTTTTCCAGTAGAGAAATGTATGTCAATCTTTTACCTTTCCTCTGCCATCTAAACGCCAAGAATCCTTCTCTATCTTCTTCTTCTTGTCAGAGGCATTTTGAGTAATGCCAGTATCTAAGTCTTCTTCATCAGTCTCCCAACTTTTCACGACCTCCTTCTTCCCACCTTAACAATCAAATCAACATGAAGTTCAACTCTTTTCCTTGAAAGGCAATCTCAAGTGCTATTATAAGAGCTTTTCAAGAAACACACAAACCTTTCTTAGCAATGGTTTGCTTCTGTGACTTAGGTTTCTTCTTTTCATACTCTGTCACCTCCGCGAAGTCATCCTAAACAAAACAAAACAAAAAACCAACTTTCAATATCTTTAACAAGTTTCACTAACTACACATCCTTATAGAACCACGAAACCCAGAATCCAAACAAAATCCCCCAGCCACAAAGCTCAAATAACACATTTTTGACATCTTATAAGCTCAAATTACACACCCTTAACATCATGTTAGCTCAAATCAGACAACTTTGACAACATTTAGTTCAAAGCTCAAATCTTTGATAACATTTAAGCACAAAGCTCAAACCTTTGACATAATGTAAGCTCAAATTTTCAAGAATTTCAAAAATAAAGACGAGGAAAGAACACTAACGTTGAGTAACCAGTCGTCGGCATCATCATCATCACTCTCATCATCAAGCTCTTCCTCTTCATCACTGTCATAAGGAGACAACGTCTGCCCATACCTAGACTTCTTCTTCGGGTTTATAATCTTCGGGTTAGAGTGCGCGTTCGATACCACAAGCTTTCTACTTCTCCGTCTCGTCGCCGGCGAATCTTTGCCGGAGCCAAGAAGAAAGAGAGGTGATTCGGAGGGAAGAGTGAAGAGGATTGGTGGGTTTATAAGAAGGCAACAGCAGGAGAACGAGAAACCCGCCATTTTTGGGCAGGGGGAGAGGATAATGTTATCCAATTAGAGCTATTTCGTATATATTCTCTAAAACCCTAATTCCATTATCTATATTTTTTTTTGTTTTTATTCAAAAGTCAGGTAAAAAGATTTTGAGCTTCACAGAGAGAAAACATTAATGGTAATTAACGTTTACTGGTTAAACGCCGCGGTTCGATGTGTCAAAAGATATTTTATACACTGCTTTAAAACCACACATGATATGCAGATTAATGTCTTTTGCGTTCTTCTCGTGGTTGGCGCGAACCCGACCCGAAATCGGTCTACGTGGCCCGAATCACACCCTTCGTTGTTGCAGGTGATGATGAATTCAGGAAAATAAAAACACGATTTTTTTTTTTTTTTTTTTGATAAACGGCTTAGAACATATCCAACCACACTCCATAATTTACTGCAAAATGGAGTGGGAAATGGAGTGATGAAGAAATAAAAAAAGTGATTACTCCAAATATGGAGTAACGAGAATTTTGTTTCTTCATTACTCCATTCTCCACTCCATTTTATAGTAAACTAGAACCGGTCCGCGCTACGCGCGGAATCTGATTTATCTGTTATTTGTAGTAGGAAATTTTTTTTTAAAAAACAACTCTTGTTGGTAGTGTGTTAGGTTTTCATTTGGAAGTAATGTGTGTTATGTGATTGTTGGAGTTGAACTGAAAGAGGAATTAGATGTGTGGTGAATGAGATTGAATGTTTCCGGAGCTGATTTATAATATACAACACTTGTGTATTTAAAATTTTTAATTGTTGAGTACCGATTGAATTAGAAAACAGTGACTGACTAACTCATTTTAACAACTCCGTATGCTTTCAACTGGGTGGTTGTTTAATTTTTTTGCTAATAATTGCTAATATAACTTTATGGAAGTTAATAAATGAAATACTCTTTACATTGGCATTTTAGAAAAAGATAAGTATAATAAATATGAAGTTATATTATAATTTTATGAAAACTATATTAATTTTTTATATATAAGTCTTTTTAGTTAAAATATTTATAAGTGTATTTTTAATATTTTGTATTAGTCTTTAGTTTTCGTATTAATATTTAGTGCTTCAAAATATTTTGTAATAATTAGATATTATGTTTTACATTGTGAAAAGAGATACATATGAATATTGGAGATAATATATCATTTAACTCATGGTTATCTTTTCAAAACTGAAAAATGATTTTGTTTTGTTACTTTGAATCCTCTAATAGATCATAGACTAAATGAATATTATTTCAAAATATAATTATGATAAGTGTGGATTTATAACTCTAATTTCTATTAATAATTAAATTTAATTATTAATAATATCAAATTATCAAAATCTAATGAATTTACATAATTTTTGTGTTTGTGAAAATATAGTTTCAACCTTCGTTTGTTTATATTTTAAACCATGCATTGGAAAAGTGTAACTCTAATTATCAAAATTATCATATTCTAAAAATGAAAGCTAAGAGTGTTACACAAAAAAAAGAATGTAGCATTACAAATTTTGTTTATAACATTTGATGTCGGTTTATAATGCAAGCGTAACTTTGAAATTAATAGAATGCTTTCCCGGTCTTCAGGCCTCTCTTTAGCATCATAACATCTGAAAAAGAGGATAACATATTATGTAAGATGCTACACGTAATGTTGTGAAGGAGAACGGTGGTGTAATTTGATAGGAAACCACGATGCATGCTATAGATGATCTGTCCTTGACCTTTAATTCATAGCATTTGTTAATATACTTTGGCTATACTGTTTTATATACCTTGAACTGGCCTTGACCCTTCCTTTATATACCAGTTTTCTTCAGCCACTGTCTGTCAAGTCACAACTACAAAGCATGGATGATAACCTTGAATTCTTAATCTCTCTGTGTCTAGTAAAAAAGAAAATGTCAATTTTGTAATATAAAGTCATAAACTAATATAAAACCTTCAATGGTTCCGAGTACACTAACCTAACATCCCATCTGATGACTACAATAAAAGAAAGTGAAACCATGAAAATCAGATTTCGTGGTTTTAGTTTTATAATACAAACAGAGAGTAGTCGTTTAACCACATATACCGTTTTTTCTATTTCGGTGATCTACTTCTTGGTTATCTTCCTCATTACCATCCTCGTCCTCACTCCATCTGAAGATCATCTGCATCAACAACCTCATCACATGCCTTTTTCTTTAATGGTTGATCTGCATAAGAAACAGAGATATGTTCAAATTGTGGAATTTATTAATTAAGAAGCAATCAGAACTGAAGATAAAATAAAAAGGTGCCCATCCCACTTGATATCATAGCCGTGCTTTAGCCTTGGAGTTTCATCATGCTGGTGCTTTTGGGGATGACGATGTGAGGACTTGGCCTTGAATCTCAGCATATATAGATTTAGGTTGGGGAAAGGGAAAAAGCTGAAAATATATTGATCTTGATAATGAGGAGTTCGATCGGCGGATTGTCTTCGTCTTAAACCGCTTAGTGTAAAGGAAAAGTCACGCGTCTGAGGGAAAAGACGATAAGATTGTGGAATCTGTGTTAAGAATGAAGTGAGGTGACATGGCCGAAAATTAAACTCCTATTGGAGGAATATAAATTCCAACGTGGCTTAAGGAGGGGGAAGTATTAAGCACTTTTAATATAGTAGTGATGAGACTCCTAATTATTAGTAATATCGTGAAGTTGTGTATGATAAAAACCAACGATGGGCAAAAAATTGACCAATTAGCTTCCAAAGTACCATTATGTTTCAAATCAGTTCATAGTTTAGGTGTAATTTATATCTCAAATGTTATTATTTTAAATCTGTTATTTAATCATTGTTATTTATATCTCATAAATATTTCACATGTAAAAATATTCAATTCAATCACTTTTAGTTCATAACCTACATATAAATAACAAAAGGTTAATATATTTTTATAGGAAAATATTACAAAATAATTTTATTAAATAATTTGAGGATTTGATTATGATTTATGAATTAGTGTTCTATTTAATCAAATACATCTTTATTTATGTTTTATATTTATATATTTATAATCTTTGAAAATTCATTTTAGTTACTTTTTGTCAGTGAAAAAGTAGAGTTGCATTTTTACATTTTACTAATTTTGTTAACAGAAAAAAATATTTTACATACATTTCCACCATTACATCGATAACCAATCAAAGTTTATTTAATTTTGAAAGTATTGAAATCTGTAATGTAAATATAATTTTAAATTTTAGATTTGATGTATTGGTATCAGAGGAAAACATATTGGGCAAACCTTAAAATATGATTGATTTTGAAGACGATTTAAATGGAACAAAAACCAACTATAGTTACTTCATTTTAATATGATCCCTCAAACATCTTTCGATTTTCTTTTAGCCAAATTGAAAATACGAAGTGTTTTTCTCTCTCTTTCTTGTTTTGGTTCCATTCTGTCTTTGTCACTTTACAACAAAGAAAAAGGACTGATAACAAATTACAAACTGGGACTATAAGACTAAACAAAAAGCACATAAGCTCAATGTGAAAATTACAGGAATCTGATATACTTCTCTACAAAAGTCACTTCACAATATTCTCATGTCAATAAATGTATATATATATATATATATATATATATATATATATATGTAAAGTCTCCAAGGTATAAACAATTCAACAATACAATTGCATCAGTAACACATAACGTTGTTTCAGAAAGATGTACTCAGATTCATCGAAATCCATCTCTCTTCCCTAGTAGCAAAACAACGTTATTAAAGCATTAGTGAACGTTGACTCCCTCCCAAACGCAACGATGATATGCGATTCTCACCCCCTTCTCAAGGAACTTGAGCAAAACTTCCGGAGACTGTTGTACATCCCATATTTTCTTCCACTCCTCTCTCTCCATTGAATAGAACTTTGGAAAACGTATTTCAGTAGAAACATGTTTGTGCCGTTCCTTCCACTATCTACCAATATGGCCAGGATGTTGTTCTAGTTTGATGTGTAGCTTGTGTTTAGAGATTCTTTTTTTAACTATTCCAAATCTTGAGAATAAGGAACAGCTAAAGAAAAGATAATCCCGAGTTTCAATATGGCGCGAACACAAGACACAATGAGCGTCTGAGTGCAGACTCCATTTTTGAAAACGAACACCTGTAGCCAAGCGATCATGGATAGCTAAGCATGTAATGAAAGAGTACTTTGGAGTCGTTCCAGGGAACCTGACCGCATGAAACCAGTTAACTGGAGGCAACTGCAAGCTCGTCATCTGCCAAGTTTGATGTGTATTGAACTTTGGCGTAAAAGAGTCTCCCTTTCCCTTCCAAATGCAAACATCCATATCTGAAGTTAGACCCTGCAATCACAAGTTGTGGATCTCATTCTCTATATCAATCAGATTCCCAACATCACTTGTTTCAAATATCAAGAGCAAATTCGTAGTTCTTACCTCTGTGTTGCTCATGTATCCAAAACCTCACATTCCTCCACTGGACATTTTACAATCCGAGCAGCCCATATGCAAAATTCCTCCTCTTGTAGACTAACCCATTCTATTGCTTCACCAATTGTTCTCCACTTTTCTTATATGCTTCCTACTCCATCAAAAATTGTGACATATAATAGAAGTTTATTATCTCTTAAAAAAACCTTACAAAACTGATTAAACTTCTCTAAACACATTTACCAAAAATACATATCTTAAAACAAAACACTCAAAGATCACTTTTAAATGCTTGAGCATACATGGCTTGAAGCTCATGAACCTTGGCTTGATCATGTAACTGACCCGACCACCCTACTTGTTAACCCTTGGCAATGGCTCAGCCAAGGCGTCTTGGTCATCCCCACTTGATTCAATCGTGACATATGAATAGAGCCTGACCTCCTATTTTGTTATTCAATACCTTGGGATTTTCTCAACTTATTACATTATTGTTATCATACACAATGTCTTTTCACTTCCTTTCCTGTCAAGCAAGAGATCATGGTCAAGACACCATATATGATCTTCTCATCGAAATCAAGAAAGTATCAGTTGATCCCCTTATAAACATTTGATATTATATGTCAAGTAGATGCATTCTCTCCAATCTAACATATTAAAGTTCGCAGCTTGACATGAAGATGGGCAGTGACAACAAAATCAATTTCTAAATTATCTCCCCTAAATGAAAGATCTATGAATAAAATGTTGATAATCAATACATGAATAAACTGAAATAAAATAAACTAACAAAATCAGAATCAAATTTATTACCCATGAATGGGAAATTTAGGAAAAGTTTCTCCCACAAATGAAAGCTTTTGAATTAAAATTTTGATAATCAATAAAAGAAAAAAAAATTGAAACAAAATCAACCAATAAAATATAAATTTAAATCATCTCCCATAAACAAAGCTTCGATTTTGAAATTAATAATCAATACATGAACAAAGTTAAATTCAACAAACAAAATTGAAATCATCTCCCATAAATTATGAATGAAGTCTGAGAAGAGAGAACTGATGAGATTCGGAATAAGACTTACCTTTATAAAGTCAAAAATTCTGATAAAGAAAGTAAAAGGATGATGCATGTAAAGATAGATCGTGTCAGGTGCGGAGAACGAATGTTAATGAGTCTGTGGAAGACGACGATTCGATTCAGATTCACTATGTTAGGTTTGAAGTTTTTTTGTTGTCGGCACGATAGAACAAAGAAGGAGTTAGGGTAAAAAAAAAAAAAAAAAAAAAAAAAAATGGCCGTAAGAAGGAGTTAGGGTTTGAGATGTTTTCATGGCGATGGAAATTCTAGATCAAATTATGGTTCAATTAAATTTTTGTACAGACCCGATAAAAGCCCATCACACAACATATTAAGTGATACAGTGAGTTTCAATTACATGAACACGTTGTTACGCACAGAACCTTCGACTTAATGACGTGGCCTTAATGACGTGGATGCTTAGGTGGACAGCCTAAAAGGGAGAGAAACACAACTTTATATAATAGATTATGGAGTGGGTTGGAGATGCTCTTAATAGAAACACGAATTAAGACTTTAAATGTATTTTTCGAGTTTTTACGAGAAATCTTGATAAATAATTTATCATAACTTAATTAGAATATGTCGATTTAATAATAGGAAAACCAGATAGTTTTTTTTCCTTGTAAAAATGAATAATTTTCTTTTTTAAGGTTTGTATTTTTGACAATATCTTTTTTAATATGGTAATGACTATAAACTCAGATATCACCGTTAATGTGATTTTTATATAAATATTAAAACCGGATAGTTACTATTGTTTCAGGTGGGTTTGGATCTTGTTTGCAGGTGGGTTTCTTCCATGTCAGTCATGGAGAAGATTCTTTACAGGCTGATGATATAAATGTGAAAGCAAGAAGGGCCAAACGTAGAGATTCTTATTTACTATTAAACATTTGTGTACTTTTACAACACGTTTTGGTATACAAGAAAAAAAACAAAAACAAACAAATCTGTTGGGAGATAAGTTTAAAATCAAGACCAGTATATCTCTCTTTCTCTATCTTAGTGTGTCATGATATACATATATATAGATAGATCATAGATTATAAGATTACAAAGAACAGTTTTGTTCCATTCCTAACCTAAGAAAAATCAAGATAATGAGTGGAAGCAAAGAGCAAAGAGCTTTTGATTTTCTCTTCTTTTATGTTACTTTGGTTGGCTTGTTGAGACCATCCTCCTCTAGGGACCAGATTGTATTCTTCTCCCTATGTTATGTGGATACGAGTAAGAGGACGAGATGTCACCTGTTTGAGTCTCGCTTCCAGTTTATCTCGAGCCGTTGTTATATTGATGATTCATGCCAGCGTTTAAGCTATTAGCATAATAAGATCCCATGGGAGGTCCATGAACAAACCTGAATCCATTAGCTCCATTGGTTTGAGTTTGATGTACAAATTCAGAACGAATATTTTCTTCTTGTTCATTTGATGTATGGTCAGATGCGATTCCAACACCCAAGTCGAGGCTGACTGTGTCTGTGGTCTCTTCTGGTCTGAATCTTAGTGGTGCAGACAACTCATGGTTATTGTTGTTGTTGTTAGACCTTGCCACTGGTACATCATGATTGTGTTTGCCTTCGTATGTGGTTATAACAGCTTTTGGATCGTGCGACGCTCTCTCCACATGTTTTCTCACTGGACATCCATTAGCCGTGCATTTATAATAGCTCCTGCAATCAACCCAATCAAAAAGATACATGAAAAACTCCAATCATCATACACATCAACACATTTGAACACATTAGTTTATAAGTTTATTGGTTCTTTTGAAAGTATGGTTTGTACAACAAAACAAACCTGGGATTAGGGTTGCCTCTTACAACTTTCTGACCGTACTTACGCCACCTATACCCATCATCCAATATGTCAACTTCACTCAGAGTTTGAACAACTACACGAGGCTCTCTTATTGGTTTCATAAGTGCTGTTATTTCCATTTCCCCATCCACCTTCCTACACAATATTGTCACAAGTAAGCATCCATTGTGAGTGTGTCACACCAAAATGTCAAAGCAAGTAACCTAAAACCTTTAGTACCTTCGTTTTGAGAATGGATCATTCTCGTCCACGCCATCAAGGTCTCCACCATCATCATTTCCGTTTTTTTCTACAGGAGGAGACATGTTGTACAGTGTATATCCTTTCTCTGTAGAGCAGAATGAACAAATGAATGTTTGAATGTAAAACAGTACAAATGGGTTTCTAGTTTTATATGTATAGTTACCATCTCGGCCATTAGGAGAAGAATACTTTTCCAGTCTATCTTCTTGTGCTGCAGACATAACAAGACCACATGAGTTCCTACGACTCGGTTGAGGTTTAGGATGGTCATGTGTTCCCTTGTATACAATCTCTGTAATCTGTCCTTCGTGTGACCTTTCGAAAACCTTTTTCACTTCACAGTTAGGATGCGTGCATTTATAATAACTCCGTGGAAACTCACTTCCTTTGACGAGCTTTTGACCGTATTTTCTCCAGTTATATCCATCATCAGCCAAGATAGACTGCGCACTTCCTCTGGATTCATCTTGATCAGGTCTCTGGGAGCCTGACGGTGTTGTCTGATGAGGAACAGCAGTTTGTGGACTTATCTCAATGGGTGAAGATGGTGAGTGTTTGATACTGTGACCTTGGAGTGGTGTCTCACTTCTCTGCTTGTCTAGCTCTGCATATAACTTGAAATAAACAATGCTTAAGTTACACAAGGTCACAAGTGATATCTATGATGATGGAAAATCTATTACCATAGTGGATGATGCAGAAGGTCTAAACTCAAATTCACTAGACTTTTTCTCGTCCAAGATATTCTGATGAATTGTTGTAAAGGAGTTCGAGTTAGCGTGAACTGCATGAGGTTTGAACAATGAACCTGTAGTTGGTGAAGGTTCTGCCTGAAAATAGAATAATCTTACATTATCTAAACTTCATGAGCAACAACACTATGACCTTATTTTAAGTCCTAAGGCATAAAGAAAATAATCTGAATCGAAGCGACCAAAGAACCAAACATCAGATCTTAAAGATACAGAAACTCACAGACACAAACCTTGATGTTGGAGAGAAGAACAGGAGATTCAAGAAACGAAGTTGGACTCAAACCAGGAGGAATGGTGATGCAAGGCGATCTTGAGATCGGGAGTTTGGCCGGAGACATCAGCTTATACCTCGCCCCACCACCGGAGGAACAATCGAGACGAGACTCTTTCCGGTTAGAAACATCCGGTTCCATTTCTGAGGCTAGAGAGGGTTGAAACTGTTGCTTATGTGTTAGTGAAGATTGTGAGTGAGAGGAGAGAGAAGAAGTTGACTTCACATCTGATCTGCTCTCTTGTCTGTTCTCATTACATCAGTTGTCTTTTTTTTTTCTTTCAGTCTAATTTTATAATTTATATATTTTGTCATGATTTGTTTTTTTTTTTTTAATAAATATAAAGGAAATTGAGGACCTCCACCACATCCACAAACGACAAAAGTTACTAATTACCGCTTTATGTACTCCATTTTTTTTGAAAAAGTAAAGTGGACGGAGATTTTTATCTCTATTGGAATAAAAGACAAAGCAAAAATGTCAAAAGAAAACAAAAAGACAGTGAAATTATTGAGCAGCTAATGATTTTAAAGATTCGGGAATGATTTAACTTGGAACTAAAAAAAGCGATTCTTATTTTTTTTAAGGAGATTTGTCAGTCAGGTACCTGCGACGTTTCTCTACTACAGGCTGCAGGGACAAGGACAAGAACATAACAAAGATTTACTGCTAAATTCATCATCTCCTTTTTCTTTTTGGGTTTTTAGTGATTAACCCCACTATCTAAAGATATACTGATAAATATTTTGAAGATAATGTATAGGGCATGTCCTTGATTCAACCTTTTGGTAATTCAAAACTTGATAACAAGCAATTATTACAATATTATACAGTTAGATATTTTTTTGAAAGAGTTTATGCTGATAATGATGTTTTAGATACTCTATGAGCATATAGCTTACATCTAATGACAGTTGATGTTTAGATAAGAGAAGATATAGTAGATGGATTTTTCATTTTTGACTCTACAAACAAGAACTTGGTAGACCGTAGAGAGTTTGTTGGGAGAGATATGTATTTTTTTGGGCTTTGCACTTTAAGCCCAATTTAATGTTTGATTCTTTCTTTCCAAAGGCACACAGAATCAACAAAAGTTAAAAACCATGGCCTTTCGAGAATGACTCGGGACCTATACTAGTAATATACTAATATCTAATAACACTAGACCAGAGACCTAACCATCATTTTGCAAAAATCCCCTATATATTAATTGAGAAACATTTGAAAAGATGTAATCTCAAGTTTGTAATAATTAAAAAGTAACCTTGCTTAGTTGTCAATCAATTAGCATACCAATTAAACTGACGTGTCAGCTTTAGGTTCAATTGAAATTTGCTAGGGAAAAATAATTAGAGACGCATATAACGCATGTAACATAGTTTATATATATCACACGCATGTAATGGAAGAAAAGGAAAATATACGATTTGATAACGATTTGCATATATTAACTATAATAACTTCATTCCTTTTAATTTATGGAAGTGTATATGTAAAATGGAAATTACTTTGTGACCAAGTACATACTTAATGGTAAAGGCAAGTGTATATGTAAAATGTAAAACTTAATATGTTAACTTGGGAATTTATGNATTACTTTGTGACCAAGTACATACTTAATGGTAAAGGCAAGTGTATATGTAAAATGTAAAACTTAATATGTTAACTTGGGAATTTATGTTAAAATTGATATATGCAAATCGTAAATATTAATAGTAATTATGGAAGACCCCTTACCTATTAATACTATCACCTACTATTTCATTCGACGTAATAAGGCACAAGAAAAAATCCCCTATATATTAATTGAGGAACATTTGAAAAGATGTAACCTCAATTTTGTATTAATTAAAAGAGGCCCCAATGCATAAGTGTCATTCAATTAGGTAGTCAATTAGATTCAATTGAAAAATAAGTAAGTCCACATTGGATTTTTATAGGTTGCTAGATACATTAGTTAGTGAAACTATATGATATAATGATATGATATGCTATTTTCTTTCCATAAATAAAACCTACGGAATTACCATAAATGACTAATATATATATATGACACTTAATGATTGTTCCCTAAGATATAATTACTATTTTATTTTATTTCCATAAATAAAACCTACGGAATTACCATAAATGACTAATATATATATATGACACTTAATGATTCTAATAATAAATATTTAATAATAGTTTATATATACTCCATCATTTTTCTTTAATTTTATATTATTAAAATAAATTAAACAATCAAATTAGCTATAAAATTAAACTTTAGATTTTTTTCGTATAGGTTATATTTTGAATTTTAAGAAACGAGAATAAATAACTAAACTATTAAAATTATTATGTTAAAAATTAATGATCAATAGTTTAACATTTTACTATAAAAAGATATACATGATTTTAAAACCATATAAGTAAAAAGTATCATTCAATAATAAAACATATATAGATATATACAGATTAAACTATATACCATATAAGATTACATAAATATTTTAATTTCAAAATTTTCAATAAATTTTCAAGAACTTTTATAAATTATAAACTTATAAAATTTTCACATTGAATTTTTTTGTTATCAATGATTTAAATATCTTAGTTCTTTTTTTAATTTTATATTTTTAAAAGATATTAACAATCGATAATATGGTTATTTTTGGTATATACCATACAAACCGAATAGATGTGATTTTATAAAAACCATAGGATTTGGATATGGTTTGATTTATAATCGATTAAACTGAAACATGTAAATATGTATATATTT